CTTATAAATCTTATGTTTCTAAATTTTTCTTAAAACCAACTCTTTCACTTTAGATTTCTTTTTCTGAAAACCCTTCTTTTGTTGTAAGTTCTTATCTTTGTACCTATGGATCAAATTTTGACCTCGTATCATTGTTGGCCTTCTTTTAGATATCATGTATTTTTGTGGTAAATTTTACAAAAACATATTCTTTATATAGACCTAAATATAATTTTAAAAATCTACCTATTTTTCTAATTTTGATTTATTTATAGCCTTACTCAAGCAATAAAATATTTTTAATACAAAAATCACTACAAAATATATTTTTTTTAAGTATATTTGATCTACTATCTAAAAATTTCTAATAAGTTATTTGTTAATATTTTATTTATTTTCTTTCTATAATTTTTTTATTTTTTTTAAATAAATATATTGCAACAATAAATAACATGTTTATTGTCAATCTATGTATCTATCTATTATCAATGTTGCTAATATGGAGCATTGCTTTAATATAATATCATACATACCCTTGAAATTTGCTGAAATATCAAGAATACCCATGAATTCTTGATAATAGCAAACATGCCCCCCACTTTTGTAATAATATCAATTCTACCCGTGATTCTTATAAGTTATGACCACAGCTCTGTTTTTAGGTTCAAATGGGCCCTTTCTGCACTTTTCGGCCCTTTCCCTGCCACGGTCCTTGCACCTTTGCGCCTCACTGCGAGCTTTGTGCAATTTAAAAAAAAAAAAAAAAAAAAAAAATCTAATAAATTTGTTGCACTGAACTTGACCACTTGGAACAGAGAGGCTCATTTCCCATTTGCGTGGATTTCTGTTTCTGTTACCAAAATTTTCATAATTACAATATATATTGGGCTAAATTGGTGATCAGCGTCGCGACGCCAAGGAGGACGATGAGGACCACTAGGATTGTGCACAGCCCGACGCATAGTCTTCTGGTGCGATGATGCCTGTGGTGTCTTTCTTTGTGTCGGTGTTCAAACCGATTCTAACCCATCCTAAAGGGCTCAAGATATCTATCCACAAATCTCCAATTCTAGGGCTTGGAATACCCACCTGGTAGCAAGAATGCTTTACGAAGCTTAGAGCCCAATGAGTAAGCCAGAAATGCTTCTGCCATGGACAACTTTCATACAAACATTAGAATCTGTGGTCTTGTGGGTGTGGCGTAGGACATGGTTCAAGCAAGCAAGTAACAACAGATTTGTTGCAGGCTCACCTTTGCATGGGGCTCAAAGACGCAAAGCTACACTCAAGCTCCTTCTGTCTAAGTACTGCCACGTGAATGAACCAGAGGATGGAAAATTGTTTACCGGAACACTAGAAACTCGAAGCGGATGAAAAACGGGAGAGAACTGCACATATGGAGTGAGAGCAAGAATTGTCAATATAGAAAAGGCAGCTCACTGAATGGAGAGACCCAAGTTGCTCATCGTGAAGATCCTATGGATAAAGCAGCAAAAGCTTTTAACACCCCCAGCAATTCAACAAACTATTCACGAAATCGCATCCTGGAGCTCAGCCTGGCATGAAACAAGCTAAATGGTCTTGGCAAAATGATATCAATCAACCCTGCAGGCCATAGGTATGTGAGCAGTATACGGAGTTTGTGTGATCAAGATATTAGATAGTTTCCATAACATTCTTTTCTGCGGCACGCCAAGAGATAGATGTGAAACGTTTTTGAAGCAAGGTGGCGGCCAGCCCTGGTTGTTGATGCCTCAGATACTTTCAACGATCATCGATTCATGCTCTTGAAGCTCTAACCAATGGCAAAGAATCCAATTGTATGCACCTACATCTGCCAGATAAAATGTGATCATGAAAATAAAGGCGCAGAGGCCTGGGGTGAGGCGTAGGAGCTTGCGGTGAGGCTTGAGGTGCGAGTATGGTGGTGGTGGCAGCGAGAACCGCTGCAGAAAAGTGATGAAAGGACCTATTTGAATTTAAAAACAGAGCATTTGCGATAACTTATTAGAATTGATATTATCACAAAACTAGGGGGTATATTTGCTATTATGAAGAATATAAGGATATTCTTGATATTTCAGCAAATTTTAGGGATATGTATGATATTTTTTCTTAATATAATGCCATAAGATTAGAACTCACGCCACCACTCTCATTGCTATAGATACTAACTCCTCTATTGCCCTTATACTTTCTTTACTAATGATAGTGAACAACATTGTATCATTGGAATTTAATCAACTCCAATGTATAGACTTCAATTATAACCATCTATCATTGTCTTTGATGTTTTTATATCTAGCTTTCTGTGTATGCTATTTTACAAGCTCATGGCACATTATTGTAATGATAGAAAATAGATCCAAAATGAGCTAAAAGATAATAGTAGAATTATTATATACAATCATATTTCTACTTGAATGAGATCTAAGATTTAAAATGCATTAGCAAAGTTAATAATGTATGTAGGATAAATCAAATAAACAATGCATTTTTGTGTCAATCTTAGTGCTAAAAAATTAAATAAATGGCTGCTATATTATTAATAATCTAAATTCCTGCTACATAATTTAATTGAGGTCTATTTTATAGATAATGATTTTTTTTCATAATAGCTTAGACTATCTAAATTCATCTAATTAGACCAAAATTTCTAATTTTAATATGGTATAATTTTTTGATTAAATTATCAAATAGTTTTATTTTTTTGTTATAAATATAATAAAATAATTTTTATACATCACATACTACTTATGAATTAATGTATCTAATATTTATTTTTTATAATTTTTTGTAGTCTTGTAGCTACTCCTTCATTTTGAAGTAATATGTTTTTAGATAAAATTAGTTCATGGTAATTAAAGGGATGTATTATACTATTTATTAGTTTTAATTTATAGATATTACTACCTATGAGTGATTAGATAGGTAGTAAAAAACTTTCTAACTTGTCTCTTTTCTAAATAGATGTAAAATTATTTTGACAATTATAATGTATTTTTTCTTTCTTTTACTAATACATTATCAATTTATTATCTCTTGTTCTTAAATTATACTCTTATAATTGTTTATTTCTTACATACACTTTACACACATATTATTGCCTTATTCACATATACTAATATTGTGTATGTGCTATTTAGTTTTTTACTTATTTATTTATTTATATAATATTTAGTATAGAAATTTTGAAATTCAATTCAAGATTTATTTTTTATTTTTTATTTTTTTTAATATTGGTTTATAACTTAAAATTCAGCATAGCTACAACTTTTACAAAACTTCTTATTTTTACTAAATACCCTTACTAGTATAGAACTCAAATCTATCCTTGAAAAAATATTGCATTAATCAATTTAATTTATAAGTTCATTCTCTTCTAATTAAATTTTCTTAAAAATATTAACTTTGTTGATACAATACATTTAATCAAATTTTCTTATTTAAAAATTTTACATAATATATCTTTGTCATAAAATTCTAATAATACATGTGATATTTTTTAGGCACTTTTTTTTCTATTATGTTGCATCTAAAATCTTAATGCACATATAGATGTTAGATTGCTCTAATTGAATAGAACTTTTAAACATCAAATCTACCTTGATTTTTTTTTTTTTTTTTTCAATTTTAATCATGTTAATTGAATTGTTTAGCTAAATTTGCTTATTTGTATAGAATCTTGCTTAAAAAATCCTTCTTTACTCCACTAGTTTAATATTCTTTATAGCTCTGATACATTAGATTGATTGACCTACTAATATACTATTAATTCCTTGTCCTATAATTTTGATATTTTTTTTTTATTATTCTATTTTACATACAAAGTCATTTCCATTGCCACAAAGATACTAAAATAACAATACCAAAATTAAAAATTTGGTTGAGTTTTTGACAAGATTATATGAATAGAAAAAAATTCTAAAACAAAATATTACAAAGAAGATAAAGCCAAATTATTCTACAAGGCAATTGAAGACTTTCAATTGATCTTAAAATATATTATTGAATTTGAAAAAAAATTAATGACATATAAAACCAAGTTAGGTAGAAAATTGATTGGTATTACATACTACTCCTTAAATCTAATAGAAATTAATTAGAAAAATGTCATGTCTAATCAATTTTCTTTTAATTAGAAGGTAATTTGATATAGGTCTAAACTATATAAAGAGGCTATACATATGCAATTAATATGTTATAGAGGTGTAGTAGTAAACATGTAGAGAGAAAAAAGTAATTCAAGTATCACATCATAATTTTTTTATTTCTATAATTTGTATAATTTGTATACAAAAAAAATTCTACACAAACTTTGAAATTGTGCACAAGCTTGTCTCATTTAAAACTAGGTGACACCTTCTTTGCAAGTTAGCTTTAAGTCTAAGGCATAAAAAACAATAAATTTTTGTCATTCAAATCTCACTTCTTTTTTCTTTTTCTTTTTTTAAACACAATCTGGTCTATCTTCAAAAGACTCGTGTTATGCACCACCTAATTTTTTAAAAATGATTTTACTTTTAAAGATAAAATATTCAATAATATTTATACTAAAAAATAAATTAAAAAAATAAAGTGTGTGTATATATATATATATATATATATATATATAAAATACAAAAAAACTTAATAATTGTGATATTTTTCTTAACAAATGAGAAAAATTATAAATGGCTAAAAACACACATTAAATAAAAACTTACACAATATTTAGGTAAATATTTAAAATTGTACAATATAACCAAATTGTGCACAATAAAACAAAAACTTGTAAAAACTAGGATAATTTAAATTTGGAAGTGTGCTCTATACTTATGTCCCTTCTATTCCTTAATTTGGCTTGCACAGATGGCATAAGGACCGAAGACACTATGTAATTATTTCTCAATTAATCCAAAACATTAAGCACACCCAATCTGAAGTGAGAATAAATAAATAAATCTATCTATATATATATATATATATATGGTAGCATGCGTAGACATGGACAATTAAATGCTACCGGGATTAGGGTTTCCGAAGGCCGAGAAGCTTCAGAATCGATCCACACACGACATACTTGAATTGGCTTGTTCCCATGAGGTTAGGCCTTATTACTGGATTCCGCTTGGCTAGTGACGATGAGTGCTTTCTGGCCTGATTTGTGGCTCCCTTCGCAGTTTGCATTGCGGAAGTCGTGTTCAGTCGGTACACCTCTCGGTTTTCGATCTTGCGATCGTTTCTGCTTAGCAACTGCATGGCGGTCAAACATTTCACGGTGAGATTTTCGACGTGTGATTCGAATCAGAACCGAATTCCTGGATGTGGCCCTGATTCGCGCTGTTCAATCTGCTGGACCTGACATCAATTCTGGTGTAATATGCATTACTGTAAGAATCTGATGAGCTCTCGTAATCGAATTTCTTCTGGATGTTTATTTCTGGTGTTTTCATCGTTGTCTGCGTGATTATTTTTTTTGTTTTATTGTTGGAACAAAAGGGGTATACCCGTCGCATTAATTTATGAAAGAATAAGAAAACAGGAACTGCCTTAGCTCTATTATCTCTAGGAGAGGTGAGCCTAGAATCAGGAGTTGTCTGCGTGTTTGTCATCTTGATTTCTAAAGTTGTTGGCACGTGTTAGTGCATACTTGAGCTAATTATTTTGAGTTGCTGTTTTTGCGATTGCAGTCTATTTTTTTCTGTTTGGTAAGCAAGTGATGATGGTGCAGCAGTTTAAAGAATTTTCTGTAACTGTGCTTGCTAGTTAAGACACCTTCTTCACTTGGTTTACGCTTTTTATACAGGAAGTCTTAGAGCTTAAGCTGATTAATGATAGCAGCTAGAGCCATGCTGAAAGAAATTCTCATATGATTGCAAACGTTTTCACGAAACACATGTCACATGAGTTAGTTTCTTAAAATATTTGCTAGCACAATTGTGTTAATGGTTGGGATATTAACTAAGGACAAGGAAAATGGCCTTCACTAGAGGTGGGAAATCTGAACGAAGGTGCTGCTCAATAAAGAGTTTGTGACCTGTCTAGAGTATTTTGTTTGAAACCTTCCAAGGACCTGTAGGAAACTGGTTTTCGTACTATTCAGTAATTACTTTGCCTTTAATGAGGTGTCGTATCCGTCATTCGTGCGTTTAATCTTGTGTTCGGCAAGACCTGTTTTATTCTTTTGTAACACAGTGTGCCATGCACTTCTTGAGTTGGCCCAGCACTGCTCGATAACTCCATCCTTCCAAAACATTTATAGTACAAAGATATTTACCAGAAAAGAAATGGGATCTTAGTCGGATTCTTCAGTTGAAGTTTCATTATGTTCAGCCCAATTCTTTGTTTTTTTCTTAGAATCCAGAAAACTTTCTAGTGTACTTAGTGCAACCATGGCAAGATGGCGGTCATCTTCAAGCGTCATGTCCAGGGTATGTTTCATTTTCTTTTGATGTTGACTCTGCATAAGTTGTTGAGTTGGCAGCTCAGGGAGGGGTCCTGTAGTGCATGATGATACATTTTGAGCAATTGAGATTTTTGATGCAAAGAGAAAGGGTGGTGCAATACTGGATGACGCACGAATCTTCAAACGCGACAAGCAGAAGTTCAAAAATTTCAGGTTTGAAAGCAGGTAACCGACTCCAAAATTGCTTGGCTAAGTACTGAGTCATATCAACCCAGTTTACTATTTAATAAGCATTTCTATTTCATTTTAAAATTGTTTGTTTGTTTTATCTTTTATTGCCATGCAAAATGTCGACTGTATTGCAATGGAAATTGTTGGTTTTAATTGAATGCCTTTGTGATCATTACACGTCTATGTTGTGTAGCAATAAAATTTTAATTCTTTTTGATTGCTTGTATTTATTATTAATATTAATTTTATTATCTATTAAGTTATATTTTTAATATTGAGTAATAATTTAAAAAAGTAAATTCTTACCTTTTTAAAAATATTTTGTAATATTAATATATTATTTTTAAATTTTAAAACCTATTTTTGATACATGTTTTTTATGATTATAATTTTTGATTTTTAAGTTTCCATCATTGTATAGAATATATGCAATAGTATGATTACATTTATTATATCTTCAATATTCTTCAATTTTTTGTCATCTTTGAAATATTTTTACTATAAAATATATTTTTATTATTTTTAGTTTTTAGTTTTTTGGTATGATTTGCAATCACCATATTGCATAAATAACAATTCATATGTATTTAATTTTATTTTAAATGTTTTTTTTTAATTTTTTTTTTGATTGTTGTAGTATACTATGCTTGTTATAAAATTATTATCTATTTATTTGATATGCTACTTTTTAAAAATTATATTTTTATTAAATATTATTGTATTGTCTTTTATATAGTTTAATAAAATTAAATATAAAATTAAGAATATTGTTATTATTATCACAATTTTTATAATTACTATTACAATCTTTGTAATTACTATTACAATCTTTTCTATTATTATTGCACATCATAACTTAGTTGCAATGGTCCTTCATAATTTGATAAATTTATCTTAAATGTTCTTATTGTTATCTTTTTATATATTTTCATCTTGCATCATCTATTCATTGTTTTTTTTCACAAACTTTTTGACACACCCATCTACAACAAATAAATGTATTTTTGTAGAAAGTTAAATCTTCTAATGCATGTAGCTACCAATATAGAAAGTACTTGTTTTTATGTCCATTTATATCAAATTCTTTTTGTATGACAAATATCAAAGATAAGGCATCTGATAGGAATAATCAATAGTTGTCAATTAAAAAAATTAACTTCTATAATTAATATAAACTAATTAATAGTAATATTTGTCTATATATATATATATATATACATACAAATATATAAATTAAGTAAAATAAGATAGAATTGTGAAAATATTCGAATTTTCTTTTAAGTTAATTAATCAAGAAATAACTCATAAAAAATATATTAACATATATAATATTCTAATATAAGTTTTTAAAATTAAAATTTCTATCAAAAGAGTCATGATAAATAAAAACATCCAATTTGTATATTATCCAATATTCTTTAAGATTTCAAAAAATATTATTTTTCTATATATTATATATATTTATATATATACAATCAATTCTAAAAACTTCAAGATTTTTTAAATATAAACTTTATAAAAAGGCATGAACTTCATTAAACATGATTTGTACATTTAGTTTTTTAATTTAAAGAGACTTTTCTATTTTTAATTTTTGAAACATATATTTATAAAAGAAGTAACAACCAAGTTTAATATGTTAGAAATATAATGACTTAGGTGTCTAAAATATGTAGTACAATGAATTTTTAAGTAGTCAAAGTTTGTTGGCTAAAATCAATACATGACTTTAAAAATTTGAATAAAACTTATATTTATAAGATATTAAAAATTAAAAATTTAAGAACAAAAAAAATATTATATATATATATATATATATATATATATATATATATATAATATTTTTTTTGTTCTTAAATTTTGTTCTTATATATATATAAAAAAACTAAAAATAAAAATATTAATATTAAAAATAATAACTTATATAGATTTTTTAATCAAAAGAATAATATTTAATATTAGCTTCTATATTATAATATCCATGATGACTTCTAGCCTTATTATTTATTTTAAGTTGGTTCCAAATATATAAGAATTTATTGTAAAAAATCTTGTATTTAATTTCTTTAAATTATATTGGAATAAAAATTCAAAAATTTAATTGAATTTTTACTATAAATTATATTTTCTATTTTCTTCATATTTTTTTAAAATTTTCACAAATATTATGTAGGCAATTTATTTTTATTATTGGTATTTCTTACTTGCATTGATTTTCATATATTTTTTCAATTTTTTAAATTTAAAACTTATTTTTACTTATTTATTTAATTTTAAACTTGAATATTAACATTTGATAATGCAATAGATTTGTGTCAAATTGTTATACATGCATGCATATATACATACATATAAACATATAAAATATCACAAATATTTTTTAATTTTAAAAAATCTAATTTCAATTATAAGAGTAATTAAAAGATATATGTGTGATTGATCATATGAAATTATAACATAAAAAAAAATAATTACTAATATTCTTATTTTTTCAAAAAAAATATTTTATTTTATATTTTGTTGAAAAATAATGTATCTTAAGGTGGATATATATATATATATATATATATATATATATATATATATATATATATATATTTCTTTAATTATTTTAAAAAACCTCTATTATTATGCAAAATCTTGATAAAAATACATTATTGTGCTTTTTTTGAATTGTATGCATAAGTGTTTACAAACAATACATTGTATTTTCTTGTATTATATTTCATTTTATTTGGTACCATTAAGTAAATCAAGGTAGTGCTACCACCTAGTTTAAAACCAACAACCTCATACTTATAGAGTATCATATTCTTTGCATAAAATATCTTTTATAAAAATATTTTAAATTCTAAAAATAATAAAAATCGTAATAAATACTAAACTATATATATATATATATATATATATACACCACTTGTCTGCTATTTAAAGTATCAATTAAACAAGAAACATATCTCACTATCTAGTTTTGACCTTGTGGATGAAAAATTGTTGGGCAATATTTATCTAGAAATTGGCTCTAGAAATGTATCTATTATTATCTATTATTATTCTTACTATTAGGGCTGCATTCCGTTAATGAAGTGTTGCGATGTCTGAACGAAATATCATCCATGCGGATGATAACGAGCCAAGTAGTTCTTCTCTCGCCTCGGCCCACTCCCACTTGAATTGCCATCGACTGGGATCTTTAGTTCACCATATGAAGGTTGTGATGGCTGCATTACTTTTGTCCCAGATATCTAACATCCGTGACAAGAGTGGGAGTGATAATTTGGGCCCAGAACTGATATTACGCTGCACTTATAGGTGGTGTTCGGGTCCACCATGATGGTTCACAGTTGTTGTCGAGTTGATCTGGAGACTGAAGGTGGGATGGGGAGCTTCAACAGAAGGGGACGGAGCTGGGTGTAAAACTGAGAACTGACAGAAGAGAGTGTTGTTGGTGGACGAAATGGACCCGGTTTTTGTGAGGCAGATCCTGGTTGTCAAGTCATGGAAGTGACGAGGGTGTTGTGGAAAATGAGACGCCTCAAGGTCCATGTGATAACTACATGACGCCAGCAGGAAAAAACACACACACATGTATGTACACACATCACAAGCCGAGGGCAAAATAGAAATCCAACAGGAAAAGTATACACATATACACACACACATCAATAGCTGAGGAAAAAATAGGAATTCTGACGTCAGCTCAAATCGCCAGCAAGTAATTGATAAGAGGGTCCAATCAGCATTTTGCTAATCTTTGTGAGCCTCGTGGTATTCCCGAAGTTGACCTCAGCCGAGATGGTAGGGTGCTGTTCTCTTGGTTTTTCCTTGGTGTCCTCTGTACAAACTCAGCTTTTATAGTAAAGGACTCGCTATTTTGTGTCAAGAAATAGTTCTGTATTGAATCCACACATTTGCGGGTAATTCAATTTCAAAACTTGTACATAATAAATGAACACTGAAAGTTAGCCAGTGGCTAGAAGCTGTTTATCCTTCGATATTCGTATTATATAAACTATGTTGATCAGCCACAGTAATTTACAGACACTTGCATGGCGCACTGGAAAGCAATTGTATTATTTGGTGAATGGATTTCTGGTTTTTCAAGTGTTTGTAAAAGTATAGGACATGTGGACCTACTCACTGAAACGGGTGTGTTGTAAGCCTCAATGTCAACTGCTACTTTGCACAGCACGTTCAGTTGAATTATTGATGCCCTCTACGCAGGTGTGTATTCCGACGACCTTGGCATACAACGTTACTGCCTCACTCTCATTTTGTGCATGGAAGATTTTTAGGTAATTTTCAATTGCTATAATTTGCGCAAGAGACTATTTTGATGGTCCAAGAATAACATATAACGGGAGAGAATGGCATTTTGTAATCAGGTAAAGTTGAATTCGATATGTAGATATAGGAGAGACCCACTTTGTTGAACTATTCCAACTCTGAACGCGGAGACGCACTGAAGTATTGGTGAGACAGTCTCGTGCTCCGAAAAAGTCTGGGTTGATTGGTTATTAGCCTCCAGTGCGCATGTACACACGTGCACATTGGAATCAACGCTTAGCACGGATGATGAAAGTTCAAAGCTAAACAGTATGATACGAAGTGATTTAGGTGGGAGAAAGCTGTGACCTCGGAAAATGAGCAAATTCTATGTACAAGGCTTAGCTTTCCTGGTCATTTACAAATAAGGTCATTCTATTTCCAATGCTATTTAGGTTTGTTTTTTTCATTTTCCCTCTCGATAGACTGTTGATACTGTGACTTACAGAGATGACTGGTCCTGGTTTTATCACCCTGCTGTCGCTGAATAGCATCCGTCAATTTTCGAGGTTGCAGACTGCAATGAAGGTTGGTCTTACGAGACTCCTTTAATTGGTAAATGGTAAAATCAATTAGTTGCAGCTATTAAATTGCACTTTAGTTTCGCATTCTGTTGGGGGGGGGGGGGACGGAAAAGAGCAACCGTCCCATTTATGTCCTCTTACGTGGCAAATGCACCTAGTTAGTTCGGTGCTATCAGACGCAATGCAGTTGAGGCGCAAGAGTAGGACCCCCACAGCGACCAGTTTCCAACATTTCTTTATCCACAACAGAACTTAAGGCGGTTTCAGTCCTTTCAAATGTGACATCACCATTATTTCAAAGCCACTGCTGGCATCACTGCCCAATCGGTAGGGGAGAGAGAAGTTACTTTGATCCATTAAAATTGAAGTGAAGGCAACTCTGTGCGGATCAATGCAGCGTCGTCAGAGCATATCGGTAGCCATGACAATCCTACCGATGCGTCTAAAGTTAATTAGACGCACCCATTATACTGAACCCTGGACAGCTGGATCAGAGCGGTCGACAGCATCCAAGCTACTATAATTATATCAACGTACTAAAATTTGATTGTGCATGAGTTGTCGGCAATAATCGATTTGCTAGTACGGCATCTGAGAACCCTTGAGTCACCTGGAAGCCTCGGGATGTGATCAAATTACA